ATGTATGCTTTTTTATTTATACTCGTTTATATGTATACGCCTAGTAAGTAGTAAACCTTTAAGTTACTTTATGTATATTAGTAAGTACGCTTCTTTATTATACAGATTGTCATTTTCGGCCTCGTCCCGGCCAAGTCCTATCTCGGAGACGCGCCCTCTTCGACGGACGATGGCTGAGTGGCTAAGCAAACGGGGCAAAACTCAGTTTCCTGAAAAATATTATGCTCCTCCGATCACCTCTCGCGTATAAAAGAAGGACTTTCTTACTCCTGAATCGGGACGCGGGGCCGATCTTCTCTACCGGGCTGAGCGGTCTCTTCTTAACCCTTTCGTTACCTTGGACGAGATATCTCTCGACCCGATACTGGCCGATTAACGCTTTTGACGAGATATCTCGCGACCCGATACTGGCCGATCAACGCTTTTGACGAGATATCTCGCGATCCGGTAGTAGCTGTATTTATTTCTTCCTTTTAGCTATACGAATAGAATTAGTTATAAAATATATTCATCTAGAATGTCAAAATATTGGTGCTAGAAAGCTAGATTATCGTCAAAAGCGTTAATCCGCTACTACCGGATCGCGAGATATCTCGTCAAAAGCGTTGATCGGCTACTACCGGGTCGCGAGATATCTCGTCAAAAGCGTTGATCGGCTACTACCGGGTCGCGAGATATCTCGTCAAAAGCGTTAATCGGCCAGTATTGGGTCGCGAGATATCTCGTCCAAGGTAAAGAAAGGGTTAAGGGGACATTTCTGGCGATATGATACAAAAATAAGCACTTTTCATAAATCAATGAAGAAAGTAGAACCGAACGACATGTGGAAGAAAACGTCAAATCTTTAGTAATGTTTAAATGAGTAAAACAGAATTTAGTTTGCTGTGATTTAATGTATTAAGCTCGAAATATATAACTTGTTATGTCACTGTAGAAATTATGATTCCTATTCACAGCGTTTTTAGCGTTAACAGACGTCTTTTATGTGTATCTTTAAATAACTAAAAATGTTATTTAACGCTAAAAGTAGGACTTGAGTCTATACGGCATCAGAATTTGGGACAGAATCGCCTGAAATTTGAAAATTTACAAATTTTCTTTCAATATATGTGAATGGTTTTTATTCCATCTATTGTTAGCGCGAGAGGGTAATTATCTGCGTTAAAGCGTGGGTTAAAAATTGTCGTATTCCTTTTTTTTTTCATTCAGAATAGATAAGGCGATAATTATTTACGTGCATTTAAAGACAATTTTTCGGTTTTGATTTCAGACGATCCTGTTATAAGTTTTGATGGCACTCATTAAGAGGTATAATTTCTACAGTGACATAATTAATGTTATATATTTCTGGCGAAAAATAAACTAAAAATCAAAGTAGACTACTTTTTTAAAAGTACTTAAACATGTGTAACTAAAGGTCGTAACATGTCGTTTATTTTTATTGATTTATGAGAGCTACTTATTCTTTTAACGTTTTGACAGGAAGGTCCCCTTAAGGGGTTACATAGATTTGAAGCAGTTAATTTTCAATGCCCTTTCGAATTGAATTGTAAACAAATAAAATAAGTGAAATAATTTTACCACGCGCCATTACTGCTACTATAAGGATTATATATAAAAAAAGTTCACCATTATCATTATTTTATATTTATATTAGATCATCGAGAAAACCTAGGGCGTCTCGCGAGCTTTACTGGTACACATGATTTCGACAAAATTATTTGTTACAAATTAATGCAATTAAACATAAGCGATATATACACTCGCATCTACTCCATCAAACGCATTCATTAATATTTAACAAATATTATCCATGTTATAAATTAAAAAAGAAAACAATTTTTTTATATACATTTGATTCACCTAACGTTTTCAATCGTAACTACAGATTTTTATTTAAAAATGTGAAGTTCCACCGTACATCCGAGCATACATATCGCTTGTTCAATGGCATTTATTTTTTATAACAAATAGTTTAATCACAGTCATGTACATCAGTAAAGCTCCGTCTAATTCACTGTTTCTTCGATGATTCAATATAAATAAAAAGTAATTACTGTATTGAATTTTCGTTTTTTTGTTCATAATCTGTATAGTACCAGGAACGATACACAGATGAGAGTCGTTTAATTTGTTTATAATTCAACCCGAAAGAAGCATCAAGAATTAACCGCGTAAACTCATGTACCCCTTTTAAAGGAGCCTCTTCTATTTGTCCGGCTTTTGTGCGTCAAACATTCCAAAAGCAGTCCTTCGCGGCAGGAAAGGAGGTCCTTCCATCCTGCGAGATTCTCTATCGACTCGTCGACCTTACTTTGAGACTTCTTCCCCAGTTTTATTCTCCTCTATTTTGTATCTAACTTCGTCTTCTAACTACGCGCGCCGAGCACAGCTCCGCGTCGTGATAATTTCCTTTTCACTTTTTATCTAATCTACAAGAATTGTGCATTCGCCTGCATCTTGGCTCTGATTCCTACTTTACTTTGTAAACCCGGCGCCCGGCACCCTTTTTAAGGTGTCGCGATTATTCGTGTCGCCCACTATTATTATAACTTAAAGGACCGCGGGTTCATCAGACTTCGCTTCGGAGATCTCGTCTTGGCGGAGATTTCAAGAGATATCCAATTTCGTCCTTGTCCTCGTGTACACTGTTAAAAATGTTTCGACATTTCGAACACTAATGAATACAAGTGCATACTAAAACCAGAAATAGCGTACTCGAAATGAAAGTCGGACAAATGTATACTACATTTTGAGGAACACTATTTCTGTGAGAATTTCTACAGAATTCTACATTTTTAACGAAACAATTAGGGGAGAAAATTAGCTAGTAAAAATTGTTAATATGCATGTTACAACGGGATTTTCTCAAAATACATACTGTTGCGTACACTGAGAAAAAAATGTCATTGAACCGAAGAAATATTTCTGTGAATAGTATCAAAGAATATGTTTTGTTAATTCAAAACATAATTATTTGAGTCAAATAATGATTCTTTGATTTAACGAAATATTACAGTGGTACTGTTCAAAGAAATATTTCTTCGGTTCAATGAATTTTTTTATCCCAGTGTATGTATACCTGATCGGAAATTAGCATACAAAAGACTTTGAAATTTGGTATGTATACTCTGAAATTCGTACACTATAATTTAGAAATATTGTTTCTTGAAGAAACTTCGATTATATTTACACTATACTTCGAACATTTTTAATAGTGTACATTTAAATTGATTTTTCGGAAGGAGAGACGAGTTCTCGTCGTTTCTCGGAGATATTTACTCGTTTTTCTCCGCGCTTCTTGTCTTTCTGTTCGTGGAGTGGTACCAAGCCGCCATATTGGATTCTTCCGTCACAACGAAATTTCTGCACAACATAGTTATATACAAAATTGACGTTGTTTTTGAAATATATTGAGGACTATCATGATGTCTAAGGAATTATTTTGTTAGAGATATTTCAAGTCAATACCTCCGATGTAAATTAACATGAGATACGATTTTCCTTCTGTGATCCCAAACTGAACATGGCAATTCGAATCACAATATGATAACTTGGAATTAAACCACGAGACGAAAGTCGATAAGCACTTAAAAATGAAGAAATAAAAAATGAGACTCGTACTAATTACAAATGACGTTCAGAATAGCCAATAATTAATCGAAAACTTAATCTCTTATTTTTTATTTCTTACATTTTAAATACTAAACGTACGATTCCTTTTTCTTTTAATGAAATTTAATACTCATGCTGTAGAGATTTCTGACACGTTGCCGCAACTAAAACGGGGATGAAGATACCTCTGGTTTGATCGATCGATTCAGAGTAGAAGCAAACACGAAGATATATATATCGCGAGCACTTTTCAGATAATTGCTAGGCAAACGCATGATATACGCGCATATCGCATATATTTAACGTCATAGATGGTCGTTAAGATACATTGCCCATATCTCAGCTGATCGTAAAAAAACTCACAATGTCGTCAGTCCAACGTTTGTCTTTGTAAAAGTATAACAAAGTCTTTGACCTATAAATGCACGTTTTCTGACTAATATTCAACTCGAGTTAATTACACTGTTAAAATTCTTTCGATATTTCGAACACTTTCGGGTACAAACGTAAACTAAATCGAGAACAGCGACACTCGAAAAGAAAGTCGAACAATCGTGAACTGCATTTCGAGAAATTATATTTTCTGCGCGAGAATTAGTACAACAGTGTTTTAAAATTTGGAATAAAACGGTAACATGAGAAATCAGAAATAAGTTAATAAATGTTCTAGAACCCCCTTTTCCTAAAATACATACAATTGTGTTTTGGTACGTGATCGAAAATCAGTATTCAGAAGTATTCGAGTTTTCATATACATGTCTTATAACAATCGTACATCGTTTATGTACTTTTGTAGACAATTACCTACGAATTTTTGTGGATGTAATCGATAATTATTATACAAAAAATTTGAGAACTTAGCGTACTTCGCATATCTACCTCTTTCCATATTCGTGTACTAAAATTCCGAACATAATTGTATTCGAAATTTCGAAATGTTGTATGTATACGAAATTTCGAAATATTGTATGTTGAAAAAATTTCGACTACACGTATACCACATTTTGAGTCGATATTTTTAACAGTGTACAATAAGCTCGAGATGTCGAGACCAGATTGGAACGCATTCTCTTGCAAGTGAATCGATCCATCAGCGTTGTCGTCCCTATTGGGGATAATTAATTACTCCTGTTACAGGACATAGTGACTAGAGAGTAGCGAACTCGATACGATAATTACATTCCGGCAGGCGAAGCTGTTTGCCGAGGAACAAAAAGGGTCGCCAGAGAGGACGTCGATCCCGTACTAGTTACGGCAATCGTGTAGAATTTCCTCTAGTATTTAGAAAGGACTCGACGAGTTCGAATAATAATGCACGGAGTAATTGTAAAAGGCCGATGATATCTCAACGCCAGCGCGGTATGTTAATGTCTCCTTTAACGACTCTACAAGCCGCAGTCAAAACTCTCCTGATTCTGTACTTTCTCCTGATAGGCTTCCAGGTAACTATCGACGTTCCTGTAGATTCCAGAGTTCGCCTGGAACATTAGGGTCTCGAGGATCCTCTCGTTCTCTATCGCTTTCGAAGGCAGGACGATCTGAAATAATTGGAAGAAATAATTATTTATTAATTTAAAACATACGTTTACAATGGAGCGCAGTCATTCAAAATGAAGGGCGTATTCTGTTGATCATTTACGCTGCCGATAGGTATTTCAGTCTCATTTGGGTTACCAAACTCGGGAGAGTTTTGCGCCAAATACATTAAAAAGCATGCGCGAACGGCACCGAATACTTAACGCCGAAGTTCGACACTTCAATTTGATTAATATTTATTTCTCAATTAAGAGAACTTATCGTGGATTTAGTTTACTAACGACAAAAGTACTCCAGGCGTACCTCATTGATTTGTCGGTTCTTATACATGGTGAAGTACATCGGAAATTAAGGGACCCGTATCTTCTTATACGTGTTAATTGGCGAGTTTAAGGGACGAAAATCACGGCCAAAGATAATCACCGAAAATAGTTTTTTGACGTTTTGATAATGGTTTTCGTAATGGTTCCTGACCAGACCTGCAATTTGTTCATTTCCAACCAGCAATTTCAATAACATATCATATTAAATTCTGTTTACGAAAAAGGGTCAAAAACTGTTTCTGGAAATTTTCACCTCTTCAACTCGTAAATTAGCACTTATAACAGAAATACTTATCTCATTTCTGATGCACTAAACGTATCTCAAAACGAAAAAAATCGGTGAAGTATCCTTGGGATTCTACACGCGTATCTAGGAACACCCCGTGAAGGGAAACAGGTAGCTAATTGAAAGCAACGCAATTGAATTCATACACACATAGTATAGGAAAAATATTAAAATCCGCTGAAAAAAAGTTTTCCGCTGACAAAATTTAAGAAATAATTTTAAATCCAGATTTCTAAGCTTGACTGTCTTAGTAGTTTTAATGTTAATATCATCCTATCTTGAACCCTCGTATTATACTGTAAATCCTAACGTATGTTCGTAAGGGTCAAATGTGATAAAAAATGTTCGACTTCGGTAGGAATTATTATATAGTATTACCCTGATGAGCTCCTGCGGCGTTATCCTGTAGAGCTTCAAATCTTTGCTGAGCCTATCCATGATGCACTTGAACTCGAGCTTGGCGTCGGACTTTAAGGATTGGGACTTGATCCTGTGTTTCGCCCAACCCAGCATGGCCTCGAATTTCTTGATCTCCACAACCTCCAGGCCGCAGGACATTATCATTTGCACCATGGATTCGCTGAGAGTCAGAAAATCCGGGCTTTGGAACAGCTGGTAGGCCCGCGTCTCGACAAAGGAGAGGATCATGTTCAGCAGCTCCGAACCTGACGTGTACCGCCAGTAATAGTTCTCCAGAGCACACAGCATCACGCAAACGATATCGATCCTGAGGAACTGTTTGGCATGATGGAAACACGCCTGGAGTAATTCCGGTAGGTCGTAATGCTCCGCCGCGCAGATCAGACCAGGAATGTTGCTGCAAGTCAATGGACAAGAGCCCGTGTGCAAGTAGTCCAGCAACGTCCTGAACGTGTCAGGATCGAACTCGATGATGTCGAACTGTAACGAAACGGAGGAGGTTTTTGAATTTACATTCGGAGAGGAAATGAGGCGGGAAGTCCTTCGGTCTCAGCGCGTCGCCAACAATTTCTCAAAAATCCAAATTAAGTCACTTTAAGTTGATCAAATAGTTCAGAAATTGTCAGTTTTAATTCTGAATTAGTGGATTATAGTATATACTGGTCGTAGACCAGTAATATATGGTTCAATGGATTCAATTGCATTTAATATGAACTACAATAGTTAAGAAGATGTTGGGAACCATTTTTGACGAAATGAACGTCGGTTCCTGAGAGATTAGTTGTAAAATCAATTCGATATCGGAACTCGTGTATCTTCTGTTTTGTTTTTTTTTTTATATTCTCGGAAATTTCAATGTTATTTCCTTTCCTACGAGTCATCCAATCCAGATCATAAACAAATGCTTAATTTTGATTAACCGACTAAAATAGCCGAAAATGTTTTGTTAATTTTGTCGGAAATTAACAGGTGTCTAACAATTAGATGGTTAAGTTTGAGCTCCGCCATTAACTCAAGTTGTGTCGGAGCGGACTTCATCAATTATATTCGGGTCATAAAATAAAGTTGTACGTTTGAAATGTTTAGAAGGGAAAAGAAGCCCGGTTCATCAATGCGTGCAAGCAATATTAGACCAAACGTCGGACGCCTTTAGCAGCCAAAAGGTTAAGTTACTTCTTCAAGTACCTCAGTTTGCGCAAGTTTGGCTCGGTCAACTTTCTGTGCATCCGCACAAACGCTTAATCGTGGAACGGCTAGTGATTGGGCGGCCTTTTCCTTTTCCTTGCTTTCTTTATCTGCGGAAAGAATATGCCAATTAATTTCATATTCTTACAAAAATAGTTTATTAGTCGACTCGACTCCTAAATCTTTTTCAGAGGATGTGAATGTGGCATCTGAAGAGCCAATCGTTCATGGAACTTTTCTCCGAATTGGGCGTGCTGCATCATTTTAAACTTTAGAACGTTACTGTAAAGGCTATAAGAAAGGTTCTGACACTCATGAAATTTCATTTTTTATAACAATTTCAAAAAACATAGGAATAAATTTAAACAAAATTGAAAATTCGTGGGTTTTAGGACCTTTCTTGTATCCTCCATATTTATATTGTAAAGTTTGAATCGATTCGGTACATCTAGTTTGGAGAAAAGTTTCATGAACAAGAACTCTTTGACGTCATTTTCACCTTAAATATCCATTAAAGGACTCACTGCTGCAATCCTGCGAACTAGTCCAACGTTTCCTGTCTTCTGTCTGCAGGGTGTTGCCGCTTCCATGCTTCCGTATGCTTCTTCCCCATACAGCAGTGATGGTGCCCAGCCTCGAGAAAGCCCTTTTCACCATAGGCGACGAGGGCACACTTATGGGCCTAAACATATGAGAGCCAGTATCTCACAGAAACCTTAGGGTGGCACCTCGGGGTACGGAGGATATTGTCAATTTCAAAGGAAGAACTTCTCCGGATGTGGAATAAAAGGATCAAATTAAGGAAATCCATAATGGAGCGGATACCGAAGAGGAGCAATAAAGGTATGCGATAATTACAAATTTGTTCAGTGTATCATTTCTGGTCCGTCTGTTAATGAGAATTGTTCACAAGAAAACTTAATAAAATGGGTACAACATCGAGTCATTCGTCCGTCAAGTAACAAGTAAAATGCAATTTCATAATACCCTATTGATGAGAAAAAGGTAAAATACAATGATATCGGCATAACAATGCTACCGAGGTACACATGCCAATTGTTGGTCCCAAAATTCAGATTTAAAGTGCCAATTTAAAAGTACCTGAAAGATGCATTCAACATCAAGATATGCCGGAGTTTACAACGTTTTACAGTACCGTGGAATCATGCTTGTGCCAATGTCCCTTTTGCGGGAATTGTTGTTTCGATTAATCTGCATTTTAGAAGATAACGAAGTACGAGAACCATGCGGTGCTGTGAGGAAAGGAGACATGGATGTGCCATAAGAAAATACACCGATTAAATATTACAGTTCATCATTCGATAGATATAAATGTGTCCGTTCTGCAAGCATTAGCCTCACCAATTGAGAAAAGCTAGAAAGAAAACGCCTGGTTCCTGGAGAACAGGCATTCTCACTTTTTTTCTTCCTTGCATAATTTTTTGCGTAATTTTCTTCAATACAAAAACTCGTAATTCTGGAGATAGAAAGGCATCTCATCCATCAATGTACCTGGGACTTTCTCTGTCAGGTACTTGAAGGAAATTCGTGTTCTTCGTCGTTGGAGCATTGAGCAGGGTTGGTGCAGGTTTTGCTAGTAGATCGGCAACGCTGACTTGAGGACTCCCAAATCCTGTCTGTATCCCGTACAGCATTTCCTGGAAGACTCTGAAAATTGTGGAAATTATTGAACGACTCGAGTTACTCCAAAGCATATTTTCACGAATGCGCCTCAAGTGAAACAATCACCGGTATAATTCTGCAAAATTATTTTACCATAAATTTATATTTTATGAAGTACCTGCTGCGAACACCAAGTATCGCTCGAACACCGATGAACCTGACTTTCTCTTTCTGTTGTCCAGATTTGTTCGGTTTATATACAAGAAAGGTGACGTCGAAGAGATTTGCATTGAGGATGCTATTCGCTTCGTTATTCAAGAAAGCTTTTGTAAAGTCCAAGGCGAGTTGATCGTAATTTTCGAATTGATCCCGAACCGAGTCCAGCAGAGGGGAGGATGGTCTCATGTGACCAATTGGTCTCCACGAACCACGTCTATGAACATCGTTAAAGATTTATTACATTAGAATTTATCTCCATTATTATTCCCCATTTTTATCGGTGCATTGATATTTTCAAACTCAATCTTTTCAACCCCGGAATGAAACTCCAAATCATGCACTTTTGATATTTTCTAGATTTGTCCATTCATGCATTATTTCCAAAATTCATCTTCTAGATTATCATTTCTAAAAATTTGTGAGTTGTGGAATTCAAAGAAAGTAGTCAATAGAGACTACTATTCAATTAGGGGTTCAAGTGGATCAAAGCATTTAGGCAATTATGACATGTCGAAAAGATCTCGATACCTGTAGGGTTTGGGAATTTGTCCAGTTTCCGCGTGGTTCGTTAAATTGGCGACAATGTCCTCCAGCATTTGACTTCTAGTCCTTTCCTGCATCCTGGCGAACTTCGGGGCGGAATAGCTGGCACGTTCTCCGTTAACGATTTTCGTCAAAATCCACTCGCGAAACATCGGACCTAGGAATACCACATATCGATTACGAAACCTACTTTCGTACCATAGTTTAATATTATTCATGACTTACCCTTCTCAAAAACACTTTGCTCCCAGAGATACGGCTTGTAAGCCCCGACCTCGTCCCTAGTTACGACGGACAGCTCGTACTTCGTGATTTTCCTCTTGTTTAAAGGACTTACGCGTACAAGGATGAAAGTGTGAAGGAAATGAGACTTTATGCACGCTGGACTGAAACTCGTGTTGTCAGCTTCCAAAAATACGACACACACGATGTCGTTGCCGATGTGTCGCTTTCTCTGGAGCTGGAGGCAACGTTAAAAAATGTCAAAAGTCTTCAAATACATTTTTGTCATGTTTTTAGGTCTCGAGTAGGAGTGATGGTTAGATCATGAATCGTTCTCATAACCATACAAAGAAAAAACGATTCACAGTCTGAACAAGAAATTTTACTTGCTTCAATAAAAAATGAACACTTGACAATGAGTCTGCAGAATTCATGTCCAGAAACGTTTTTGTTATATCGAGAACAAAACACGCGATCACTTCACTAGGGCAATCCAAATTCTATTAATGGCTGCAATATTCTTTTTTATTGCTCGTTCATTCGAGTAGAAACAACGATTCTTTTTTTTTTTCGTCGTTACTGTTTGGTTGAGGAATAAGTTTCCGCCGTTTTTAACGTAACGTAACGTAAACAAAACGGCGGGAACTTATTCTACAACCCAATACATCTACGTTCGATAAAATTGCAAACATTTTGCCGTTGACGCGATTATGCCTGGAGTAAGAATAAAACTTTCTAAGCAGTACTGTCCTTTGTTAGAAGTTCAAAAGTCTTTATTTGCGTGTGTCAAACTCTATTTTTTTCATGTAATACTACTTCGAGTGTTTTCCTGATATTTTTGGTACCTTTTGCGGGTCGTTCTTCTCAAAAGGAAGCAAGGTGGACACGTGGAACATTATCTCGATGCCCCTCCAATTTGTGTAGACGGAGTAGAGTCCCGTGAGGTCGTGCACGTTGTCAAGGCCACCTTTGTACTTGTCGAAGCCTTTAAGTCTGACCTTATCACCGAGTATCTGAAGGAACTCTTGGAAGAGGAAGGAGTTGTCATTGTTGCCGAGGATCTCCTCCTCGCTGTATTGTCCTTCCTTCACGTAAATGACGCCGACCTTCAATTCAGACTTGATGAACACTTGGTCGAGCTTCAGCAATTCTTCCGGGGTGTCTGGCAGTTGTCCCAATCGCAAGGGCGGATTTATGTTTACCTCCTTGCCGAGGCTCCTGACCACTTCCTCCCGATTGTACCTAGATAAGAAAATGCAGTGGGTCTAATATATATACACGCTTGTTAAGGTGAAGTGAAACACGTTGAGGAACTTGATCGACGTCGATAAAGAAGATTTTTCTAAATGCCTACGTTGCCGACGTTGGTTTTTATATTGACAGCTGTATCGAATTATATTGGGTATTGTACCAAATGGCATACTCCGCCTGTCGTTTTCGTACAATAATTATAAAGAAATCAAAGTAAAACTCCAGAAATCTTCTGGATTCATGCTTTCTGGGGCCCTAATTGACTGCAGAGGAACCCCCTGCGCCATCTGTGATTTACAGGTCAATTATATTTTCACTCCGAGACCTCGTATTATCATCGTTTTAGTATAGAAGCGCATACAACTCTTTTTTTGCCTTTATCCCGTTCAAATGCGAGTTTATCAATTACCAGAGGGTTCTAAATTGTCGTAGAATTGTCCTGACCCTTTCGATTCTCATATCAGAGTCTTCGATAATTGTATATTGATCGAAATATGAGAGCTCGACGCCATTTTGGTTACGGTCTGGGCTGAATTAAAAAATTTGTTTACATTTTGTATGTGTCAGGACAATTCTTAGATGGTCAGGAGTGATGTGTCAAAGTTTTGGACAGTTTGGTCTAATACCCTTAAAAAAAAGTGTTGTATTCGAATCGACTGATTTGAAAGGGGTTTCACTTCACCTTAAGGGGACGTGAAAGTGGCATCTAAGGAGTCAATCGTTCATGACATTTTTCTCTGAACTGGATGTACCGAATCGTTTCAAACTTTACAACGTGAACAGGGAAGCTATAATCCTGACACCCATGAAATTTCATTTTTTATAAAAAATGTTAAAAATATCTATATACAAGCTTTAAAAAAACTGAAATTTCATGGGTGTCCGGAACTTGCTTATAGCCTCCATATTCACGTTGTAAAGTGTGAAACGATTCAGTAAACTCAGTTCAGACAAAAGTTTCATAAACGAGACCCTTTGACGCCACACTTTCACATCACCTTAACCCTTTGCAGTTCCATGTGTAGATTGACTTGACATTTACACGGCGATTTCGGAAACTCGGACCGCAAAGGGTTAAAAGTACTCATGCAATTTATACACTTTCAGTACATTAGATAGTAAAATTATATTTTTTATGTCTTAAAAGTGAATTAGCATAGATTATGAATCTTTTAATAAATTCATCATTTTATGACATCATGTTATAATTTTGTAATATCCTGTAGAAAAATGAATACAATTATATACCACACTTGTAACATATGTTACAAAATTATTTAACATTAATTGCAAATATGTCAGAAAGTTAGTATACCAAGGCTGAATAAAACTTCCGAGAAACGTTATCACAAAAGTAGTGTATCTTTGTTAACTATGTATAACAGTTATGCACATTATACACGGTACGGTATAAGTGACGCGAAAAAGATAAATTAATTTCATGGAAATATGGGAAGATGCCATGGTATACCGAATTGAATTCGTCTGATTTTAATGATACACTCTTCAGAAAAGAAGAATTTCAAAAATCCAAATCCCCTTTTTAAAGGAATTAAGATGACGGGAAAGGTTTTTGCCGATCGCTGACGACGGATGCACTCTTTTTAAAAACGTATGAATGAATTTGTCCGAAATTTTACCATTTGATTATAGAGGCTTGATTATGGAGAGAAGTAATAATTGAGAGCGTCAGGAATCGTTTTCAATAATTTTAAACATTATAGTAATCGACAACTATTCAGATTCGATACGAACAAATAAAAGTATACCCGCGAATTACAATTCTCAACGCGTTACAGCCCAGCTGTCGATATAACCATAAAGATCGATAACATGGCGCGCTGTTTCAGATGGTATATCCGTCAGAAGTTGTTTCTATCGAGAAAGATGAAGGTGATATGTAAGGGTTATTATATATATATAACATAAAAATATTTATTAAACTTTTTTCCAAACTGAATGCACCGAATCGTTGGAAACTTTAGCATGTGATTATGGAGACCCTAAGGAAGAACGTAATACTCATGAAATTTCATTTTTAATACAAAAAAATATTTATATATCTCAGACTAGGACGCAGAATATTTCTAATAATTCTTCTTAAAATTCGAACTAATTATTCTTCTAATAATTTCTATCTTAAAATTCTTTTTGAAAAAAAAAATTTCATAAGCACCACGTTCTTCCTTAGAGCCTTCGTAATCAAGTGCTAAAGTTTCAAATGATTCGGTGCACGCAGTTTGAAGTAAAGTTTTATAAATATTTTTACGCTTTATATATTGGGTTGTTCGGAAAGTAATTTCGTTGTTTCCCAGCAGAGGACTTAATTTTGTTTTTCCAACTTCACACTTAAGCCGCATAATCATTATATATTTTTACAGCTGATCTAGCAAGGCTTGCTTGTGAAAAAGTTTGATTGATTCTACGCAGTAGTTTTTGGTTGGTACCCTTTCAAATATGGAAAGTGAAAAGCGGCATTTTCGGCATATTTTACTTTTTTACTATCGAAAAGGTAAAAATGCTGTTCAAGCAAGAAAAAAATTATCCGATGTGTATGGAGAAGATGTATTGACAGAACGCCAGGGTCAAAACTGGTTTGCAAAATTTCGATCCGGCAATTTTGATATTGAAGATGCCCCATGTTCTGGAAGGCTACTTAAAGCTGATGAAAACACAATAAAGGCATTCATTGATGCAAACCGGCGAATAACAACTCGTGAAATCGCTGAGAGATTAAATTTAACGAATTCGACCGTTCATGATCATTTGAAACGCCTAGGTTTAATCTCAAAACTCGACATATGGATTCCTCATGTTCGTACGGAAAGAAATTTGTGTCATCGCATTGACGTCTGTGATTTGCTTCTCAAACGTCAAGAAAATGATCCATTTTTGAAGCGCATCATCACTGGGGCCGAGAAATGGGTTGTCTACGACAATGTTACACGCAAGAGATCATGGAGTAAAAAAGATGAACCGGCTCAAAGAACTTCGAAAGCCGAAATTCATCAAAAAAAGGTGATGGTATTTGTTTGGTGGGATTTCAAAGGAATCGTTTTTTTTGAGATTCTACCGAACAACACAACGATCAATTCTGAAGTGTACTGTCACCAGCTGGACAAATTGAATGATTCACTTAAACAGAAGAGACCAGCATCGATCAATAGAAAAGTGTAGTGTTTCACCAAGATAATGCGAGACCTCATACAAGTTTCTTAACTCGCCAAAAGCTTCTACAGCTCGGATGGGATATACTGCCACCCCCACCATATTCTCCAGATCTGGCACCTTCTGATTATTACTTGTTCCGGTCTCTGCAAACTTTTTTAGACGGTAAAAGCTTTACTTCAAATGAAGAGGTCAAAAATCACCTGGATCAGTTTTTTGACAGCAAAAATCAAACATTTTATGAGCGTGGAATCATGCTCCTGCCAGAAAGATCTCAAAAGGTATTGGATCGGAATGGACAATATATAATTCAATAAAATATTTATTCGCTATAAAAAAATCGTCTTTCATTTTCATAAAAAAAAAACGAAATTACTTTCCGAACAACCCAATACATAGAATGACCCTTTTATATGACTTTGTTTCTCGGCGCCTTTCGCGCATCATTTTGAAAGTAGGTTCGATGAGAAATAACAAACCTGTCGGCAAACACACAGCTGGCAGGAATCAGCCCATGGACAGTGTAGCTGATAGCCCTGACTAATATCCTGAACTGATCGCGGCCATTAATGGTCTCCTGCTTGATACTGAGTATCACCGGACCCAGATCGTCGTCATTGGTGAAATAATTCCAATGCTCCGACCCATAGAAATATTTCTCATACGTCTCCTGTTCTACGGAGGTCAACTCGAAGCCTTGATTCTTCTCCCACTGTTCCTCGATGGAGGTCTTCTTCCGAGGCGTCTCGTCGGTCTCCACCTCGTTCTCTTCGAAGAGGCAAAAGTCTTGTCTGTGCTTGAGCATGTTGGACTCCTGCTGCTGCTGCATTTGCTGCATCTGCTGCATTTGTTGCATCTGCTGCATTTGCTGTATCTGCTGCATCGGTTGCTCTTCGGCTTGTTCCGGATCGGTCGCATCGCGATCGCTCTCGCTCTCATCCCAGATAGTGTCGGCAGTAATCTGCTGACGAGAGCACTCGATCCAGTAACCCGGGGTCGGAATGAGGTTATGTGGGAACTCCTGGCAGAACTCATCTGGAAAAGTCATGAAAACGATTGAGCTTTCCAGATCACGAACGCGGATGATCCGGAGTGAACGATCTGTTCCCAAATAATGGGGATGCCGGAATATGCAGGGTGTAACAGAAATGGCGAAAACGATTTATACAACGCCATCCTTGTTGAAAAAGGAATCGAAAAGTCCCGTATTATTTTTCCGCGCAGTGCATAATTTTCCTGTAATTACTAATCCAAGCACAGACGATCAATCGCGTTCTCCGCTATGCGTTCCGATGGGGAACGCGATTGATTGGCTGTGATTCAATTAGTTATTACAGGAAAATTATGCACAGGAGGGAAAAATAGTACAGGACTTTTCAACTCCTTTTTCAACAAGGAAAGCGCTGTATACTTTAACTTTATGAATTTTAAGCGCAATTTCTAAATTGATGAGAATTGTTAGATATTACTAACCCTGCATCACCACGTTTAAATTGTGTTTACGTGTATGTCACGCTGGGGTTTGAGAAACTTCAGTCCATAATTTGTGAAGAAATTAACGTATCGTAATGTATTTTTTGGAATCTATTGTAAATTATCTTAAAATCACAATGCAAAACTCAGAAGTTATCTAAGAATTTCTATTCCCATCATTTTAATTTCCGAAGTTTTGCAGTGCCCTTGTTTAAGCCTTTTGAAATTGAATAACGCTAACGAAAACGTCTACGTAAATTGATATTAACAAGCAAAGATAAATCTAGATAGTAATTTACTGAAGAGAAAAAAGAAAAAGGAACTGAAAAAATTGCGTTTCATTTTGCGAATTGGATCCTTTCGTAATGCATGAACTAACACCTATCACCGTCGTTTAAGAAGTTCCACTTGAAAAAGGGATTGAAACATGAAGATTTTCAACAAAAGAACCCTGTGGTCAGTGACAGATGCCCAGCATCGTCCAATTATTATATCCCAGCTTAACGTTTTATGAAAGTGTCTTATATATCCTCAAAAATTAAAATATTTATAAAACATTTCTCTAAACTAGGTGCCCCGAAACTTTGAAACTTTAATACGTGATTATGGAGGTTCTAATGAACGGCTTAAAAACTCGCGAAATTTTATTCCTTCAAAAATTAATGTGTACTCATCCCGGAGAAGAACTAAAAAATGAAATTTCGTGAGTTTCAAGATCTTCATTAGGACCTCCGTAATTACGCGTTAATTTTTCAAATTATTCGGTGCACCCAGTTTGGCGCAAAGTTTTATAAATATTTTCAGGTTTTGATACATATAGGATGACCCTTTCATATCACCTTAACCCTTTCGTTACCTTGGACGAGATATCTCGCGACCCAATACTGGCCGATTAACGTTTTTGACGAGATATCTCGCGACCCGATACTGGCCGATCAACGCTTTTGACGAGATATCTCGCGACCCGATACTGGCCGATCAACGCTTTTGACGAGATATCTCGCGACCCGATACTGGCCCATCAACGCTTTCGACGAGATATCTCGCGATCCGGTAGTAGCGGATTAACGCTTTTGACGATAATCTAGCTTTCTAGCACCAATATTTTGACATTCTAGATGAATATATTTTATAACTAATTCTATTCGTATAGCTAAAAGGAAGAAATAAATACAGCTACTACCGGATCGCGAGATATCTCGTCAAAAGCGTTGATCGGCTACTACCGGGTCGCGAGATATCTCGTCAAAAGCGTTGATCGGCCAGTATTGGGTCGCGAGATATCTCGTCCAAAATAACGAAAGGCTTAAGGGAGTCAAATGATTGCGACCGAAAGAAGTAAGGGTCGCATTTGGTTCGACGATAAGAGACCTCGGGAAGAGATCGAACCGACGAGAGCTGCGACGGCTCGAAAAGGTGTTCCTTGGAAGTGCGATGATGACAAGAAGAACGAGAAGAATACTCCTTGCAGACAACGCGGTTGCCATCCACTTGAGCACGTACTTCCGATAACTTCGCTTTCTTCTCTCTGTCTCTCGATCCTGCAGGAAGATGACGATGCTGCTGCACTCGACTCACTGTAAGGTAGAACACCAAGCTGCTTCGAGACAGGGCTTGGTATTCGAACTTAGAGTGGACCGCCTGTAGCCTCCGGACTGCGGCTCTTTAAAGAGTGGTGGTCTTCTGGCTCCGCGTCGCTCCTCTTGTTTTATTTCATTGGTCAACGGACGATACGGCAAATAAACATCCGAGTGTAGGTATGCAATCTCTATTATTTACTTACTTTAAGGCGACATGAAAGTGACGTCAAGGCGGACTCGTTTATGAAACTTTTCTCCGAACTTAGAGTACCGAAACATTTAAAACATTACATAGTGAGCACGGAGACTATAAGGAATGTCCTAACAATCATGAAATTTCAATTACAAACAAAATTTGTTTACAGATATTTTAAAATTATTTTATAAAAAATTATATGTGGTGGGTGTCAGGACCTTCCTTGTAGTCTCCATATTCGCTTTGTACAGTTTGAAACGACTCGGTACACCCAGCTCGGAGAAAAGTTTCACGAACGATTGACCTCTTGGATGCCCCTTTACATACCCTTAAGGAACTTTTCTTAAGATTATGCGAAAGTAATAGGTGTGATTAATCGTTTATGAAACCCTTGTCAACAATGAATGTACCGATTCGTTTGAAATTCTACCGCGTGAATGTAGGGGCCCTAACGGAGATCCTGGCGCGAATGAAATTTCAATTTTATGAAATATTTATAAATGCTAATAAACAAATTTTTAAAAAGTTTCAATTTCATGGAAGTCGGGACCTTTTTGAAAGCCACCATATTTACGTGGTAAAATTTCGAAACGAGTAGGTACTCCCAGTTTGAACAAAAGTTTTATAATCAATTAATCCTTAAGGTGTCACTTTCATGTCATCTTAATTGAGGAAATTAAGTTGAGTCGTTTCGACTCCGAAATTAACACGACTTTTTCGACAGAACATTTGTCGCATCTAGTGAAATATTAAGCAAGTAACATTATTTCATAACAGAATATACTTTATCCAATAAGAGATTATCGAATCAACCTGATTTTTCAACAGAGCTTATGCTAAGAGTCTAATAGAAGATTATACAATACCTATTATATAAATATTATCCAATGTCCATTGTAATATTATTATACCTTTTTAACGGATTCAGAAAATAAGTATACAATAACATAATTTTTTTACAAAATACACAGTGATATCTAATACATATTTAGCCATTACTTAGAAAATTACCATATTCCAATGTTTATATCATATTACTGTAATAATTATGCAACACATCTATTAAAAAATTATTCAGTTAACATGATTTTATACAGAATACACGTTGATATCCAATAAATATTTATCCAATACCTACCATATTGCTGTTGTCCATTGCTTAACATATGATATAAGTACACTTATTGTACACCATAGTAAAGAGCATGATACGAGGAATTGGAACACTGCACATTTTGGCATGTTTTGTGCCAAGACTGATGAGAAGTTTGTGACGTGTACACGTTGCAAAAATTTTGAAAGATCCCCTGAATGACTCGTATGTTCTATGTCGTTTTTTACCTGAACAGGCTTGTGGTGGCAATGGGAAGATGAGCGTCGTCGAAGACTTCCTTCTTGCAACTGCGCAGCCTAAACTTTGGGGCTTGAAGCTGCGCAACTGCTGCATGAAGTCCGAACACTCCATGAGCGCCACGTCGGCAAAGTGTAGATCACAAAGGATATGGTTCTTGAACCTGTAAATAGATTAAACGATTTCATGATTTTGCCACTCATTAAACGATTGTTTCGTCCTACGCCTTGTTAAGGTGAAGTGAAACACGTCGAGGAACTTGATCGACGTCGATAAAGAAGATTTTTCTAAATGCCTACGTTGCCGACCTTCGTTTTTATATTGACAGCTATATCGAATTATACTGGATATTGTACCAAATGGCATACTCCACCTGTCGTTTTCGTTTAATAAATATCAAGAAATCGAAGTAAAACTCCAGAAATCCTCTGGGTTCAGGCTTTCTGGGGCCCTAATTGACTGCAGAGGGACACCCTACGCCATCTGTGATTTCCAGGTCAATTAAATTTTCACTCCGAGACCTCGTATTCCCATCGTTTTAGCATAGAAGCGCATACAACACTTTCTTTGCCTTTATCCCGTAAAAATGCGAGTTTATCGACTACCAGAGTGTTCTAAATTGTCGTAAAATTGTCCTGACCCTTTAGTTTTTCATATCAGATCCTTCGATAATTGTATATTGATCGAAATATGAGAGCTCGATGCCATTTTGGTTCTGGTCTGGGCTAAGTTAAAAAATTTTTTCCAAAAATCCAAATTTTCAATGTATCAGGACAATTCCTAGATGATCAGGATGTGTCAAAGTTTCGGATAGTTTGGTCTAGTACCCTTAAAAAAAAGTGTTGTATTCGAATCGACTGATTTGAAAGGGGTTTTTCACTTCACCTTAAAGCTGTAAATTTCATATTTTTCGAATTCTCTGACACTGTATCGAAATATTTGTGGCCAGGTTGTAAAATTGTCTGTACATTAAATACATCTGCAAGTACCGTATTATACATTGAATCTATCGTGTAAGAATAAATCGAGTAATCCGTGTTTCATGAATTTATTTTCCAGAGTCTGTTTTAACGCAGTCTTTTTTCTGACGAGACAGTAGCGAAAAGTGAATAATTGATTTTCTTTTCTGAAGCCTTGTACTGTTGCAGACGAAGTATTTTATTCATAAAAAGAGGTTTCGTTTAATCCTACTTAACATACTTTTCACTCTTAAATTATAACAGGGCCAAATCGGTATTCTCCTTGCTTCTCTCGCAGAAAAAGAAGAATCAGTCCAAAGCGCCAGAAAGTTACGGCTCCTTATTCGCAACTTGTAAAGTTACATTTTCCATGGAAATAAGTCGTACCCCGCAATCACATTATTTAGTTCGAGTAACTAACGTTATTACTGAAAACTTTCCTTAAATTCGGAAGTTAAGAGTCGCCAGTGCTTTCTGGTAAACATGGAGTCTGATTTCAAAGCGCCAGCAAATTTCATTCGAATATTTCTCCCCTTTGTCGAATAATGCGTCACGAAGGAAAATCCGAAAGTTTCTAAGATCAGCCAATCAAATTTCATTCGAATCCATCAAATCCATCAAATTTAATTCGAATCCATCAAATCCATCAAATTTAATTCGAATCAGCCAGCAAATTTCATTCGAATATTTCTCCCCTTTGTCGAATAATGCGTCACGAAGGAAAAGCCGAAAGTTTCTAAGATCAGCCTTAAAAAAATGTATTAAAAGTTCAGCCACAAGTCCCGATATCAATTTCCCTGGACGTGCAGTAAAACCTACGATATACAAAAAAAAAAAAATAACTCGGGGGTCATAATTTAGATAACAGTTTCCCTATAAAAAGTTTATAATTCAGAAACGACTGCGAAAGTCACGTAAAACTCGGGCGATCATTATGGGTGTAAAGTTAACAGCGCGGCCCGTAAATTACTGATAAGCTACAGAACTTGGATGGTAAAGATGGGCGTTTGAAATTTAATGTCAAGGGTATCGTTTTTCCTATAAAGGTAATTACTTTTTGGAGTGCGTATATTACGAACTCACCGTCGTGCCCGTTTCTGATTGGGTCCGGTTAGGTTCAGGCCGCAGCTATTACATCTCAGGCACTCCTCGTGGTAGTGATTGTTGTCGTACAGCGGGGACGGCTCTTAAATATAGGAAAATATCGTAATATCATATCACTAATATTAAATTTCTCTGAAAATACCGCGTGATTGAAAGAAAATGTCCCCAAGCACACATCGTATTTATACAACACTGAAAAAGGATATTATCTAACAAAAATTGTTCAAGTCGCAACTATTACATCTCAGGCACTCTTCGTGGTAGTAATTGTTGTCGTACAGTGGGGACGGCTCTTAAAAATAGGAAAATATCGTAATATCATATCACTAATATTAAATTTCTCTGAAAATACCGCGTGACTAACAGAAAATGTCCCCAAGCACACATCGTATTTTTACAACACTGAAATAACATATTATCTAACAAAAATTGTTCAAGTCGCAACTATTACATCTCAGGCACTCTTCGCGGTAGTAATTGTTGTCGTACAGAGGGCTCTTAATTATAGGAAAATATCGTGGTTTTGTGTTACTAGTAATAAATTTCATTGAAAATACCGCGTGACTGAAAGAAAACGTTCCCACCGAGCACACATATTTATACAACACCGAAATAACGTAATATTTAACAAAAGTTATTCAAAAGGCACGTAATTGATATTGTATAATATCGAATTATTGTCGTTCCGTAACATCTTACGAATCTGTTAGCGTTTCAGTTATATATTAATAACATAACACACAATATAGTTCCGACATATTGTGTGTATGTTGCATTATTAGATAATTATAACAGTGTTATATAATTGCGTAAGAAATAGTAGGATAAATTTGATGAAATAGTGCATGTTACAAAGACACATGTAATGGTTATATTGTTATTATAAAATTGTGCCTGGTGGTGTCCAATACATTCGTGGGTGGCCATTTCTCAATATTTCCATTCTCTTGTACAATTTTTAAATACCCGAATAGCAGATTTTATATTCATCATTATAAATGCAACAGCTTCTCGTCTGACCAACATCTAGCAAACGGTGATTGCACCCGATTACAATTAATTTATTAATAGGGTATTGTCTCTTTATTCAGGTGATTCTTCTTATAATATGTAAATAAATCCTCGATTTATGATATTCTTGTTTTACGCGATAGGTTTTATACGCGATCAGACAATGACTTTCTCTACATTATTTCAATTAATGGTACATCCACCAATGAATTCTTAATAACACTAATTACACAACTTTGACTTTTTAAATTCATTAATACTTTTATCGGACAGATTTTTCTCTGGAGTACCTATTATGTTTTCATACCAGTGAAGTCCATTTACGCGATTTTCACCCAAAAAGCATCACCCCCATTGATTGAGGGAGGTGTGAAAATATTGAACCGTATCACTCGATTCGACCCCGAGAATTAATTTGTTTCGTTTTGATTTAATTCATTTGATTTGACGATCACTTAAACAAATATTCTCAGCGTATGAAATATTTGTCACCCGTACTCTACCAAGGTACTAGCAAGGAAACATTCCCAAGTGTCCGTCCCCGATCTTATTGATTTTCATATATGTTGAAGAACACAAAAATCTAAGAGACACGTGTTTTTTATATCTGCAATGGTCCACATTTAAGGGGTGAAACAACCCCCCAAAGTTTGGCGAAAATTTAGTTTTTATAATAATTTTCGTAGAAGTAGTGGAGGGATTTCGACGAAACTTGGTATATACGTATTCCGTATAAGGACGGTGAAAATACAATATTGTCCAGCAATGCTACACCCCCCCAAGGGGGTGAAACTTCAAACGACATTTTTTTGTAATATCTAATAAATGAGCACTCCTACTTAAGTTCCATTTACGCGATGTGATTGCTCACAAAAAATGAAGAGTCCGTGTTTTTTGACTTTTTACCAATAAACATTTACAGATCGGTTGTAAACAATGAATATATTATATCCGGGTATATTCCGAGTAGCTTTATTGGGTTATATCCTGACCAATTCATTGTATATAAATCTTGTGAACGTGCTAATTCCTCAAAATGTCGTTGGTTTTCATAATATGCAATTATTTACGAATATCGCTAACTCTATTATCGTAAAAACAGTAAAAATCCAATTTTCCCGTTTCACCAAGGAGATTGTATTACTAGTTGGAAACGGATGATGACTGCGTCATCGGATCTGTTGCGAAACTATTTTAGTCTCTTAAACTTTTTTTCAAATTTATTTATAAATAATTGCATGCTATGAAAACCAAGGACATTTTGAGGAATAAGCACGTTCACAAGATTTATGTACAATGGTCACGATATAATCCAATATAGCTAGTCGAAATATACCCGTATACCACTTACATTCATTGTTTACAACCGATGTGTAAATATTTATTGGCAAAAAGCAAGAAACACGTATTTCTTCATTTTTTGTGAGTAATCACATCGCGTAAGTGGGACTTAAGTAGGAATGCTCGTTTAATAGATATTACAAAAAAATGTCGCTTGAAGGGTAGTTCACCTCCTTGGGGGGGTGTAGCATTGCTGGACAATATTGTGTTTTCACCGTCCTTATACGGAATACGTTTATACCAAGTTTCGTCGAAATCCCTCCATTGCTTCTACGAAAATTGTTATAAAAATCGAATTTTCGCCAAACTTTGGGGGGTTGTTTCACCCCTTAAATGTGGATCATTGCAGATATAAAAAAACACGTATCTCTTAGATTTTTGTGTTCTTCAACATATATGGAAATCAATAAGATCGGGGGCGGACACTTGGGAATGTTTCCTTGTAGGTCATGCAAAGGAGTATAAGGAGCTCCTTCTAGGGCGCGTTTAGATTTTCAGTGTCCTCCAACACGAAAGGGACAAACTCGCGACGCGTAGAAAAGGCGCAAGAACGCGATCGTTTTCTTTTTCACGATTCGCTCGCATCGATTTCCCCTAGCCCCTGCGAAGCGCGATATTTCACCGGGCCGACGAGAGAAACCACGAGGGCATGGCGTGCTGGGGTGATATAAAAATTCCATCACGTGCCTCGCGGAATTTTGCTATAAAAGGGACGAGTTTCATCCCTGGGCGCTCGTCCGGTATTCAGGCGAGTCGCGTCGGTTCATTCCTATGCTCTAACTATGCGAAATGTAATTGCCAGGACTTCGTCGCTCGAGGATGCGCCGAGACGACGACGCACGCGTAACTCGGATAAGGAAGTGTCATCGAAACTTTTTATTAGAAATTTTCAAGTCAAACTTCTCATAGCACGGAAGTACGTGTAAATTCACACGTTAGGAAAGAGGCCCGATTCGGAAAGTGTAATGTCTTATGAAGTGAAACTTCATGTGGGGGTAGATATAAGTTCATACGTTACGTACCACAAGAAAAAACATTTTTTGAATCGAAGAATTTTTCTTTAAATATTACTTTGGTACTATTTGACTCAAATAAATCGTCATAACCCCGAAGAAATGTTGCATTTAATTTATTTGAGTTTATTACAATGGAATAAATATTCTCTGAATTAACAAAATATTTCTTTACTACTATTCAAGTGGAAGATTTCTGTGGATCAATGACATTTTTTTCTTTCAGTGTACGAAAAGACTGTTTTAATAATTAAACGTTTTTGTTTTCTTTTTAATTTTTAGACAATAATTTACTGTAAAAATGTACATTCGTCTTCGAATTTTAGGGTCGACAGGATTTGCGTAAATCTTTCCTTGATGTTATTGCTTTATTTTGAATTCGTCAGTTATTTATTCGCAATTGAGGTGAAATAAGGAATAAAATTATACCGGGAAAAACCAGTACCGTGAAAGAGTAATTAAGAATAATTAGTAATATTTAATCATTTTCGTTAACTCAGCAGTTTCACTTCAAATACGCATGACAACCACGCTTTGATTCTTTTTTTGAAAATACGCTGCTCGTCAAAAGAAACTGCAATACTTAAAAATTGAACCAAATTGATAAAAATTAAACCAAAATTGAATCACTATTTATTTGCGCTATCCTAAACTATGCAAGCTAGTCTTTGTTTTGCAACATTTTAATTTTAAAGACATGCAATTTTTGGCGAGCGAATTTTCCTCGAGTCTGCCGGAATGCAATTATGTGATTTTTAAATATTGTTCTTGTTTATATTTTAAAGAAGCTATCGTTAATGTTTATTTTAAATTCGTGGCAAGTTTAAGGATATATTTAAAAAAATAATTTTAATTGCAGAGAAGGATACTGTTACGACATTTGAAAAATGCAGCGTACATTTGCTTTATTGGGCAAGTTTCGTGTGAATTTATTTTTTTATTGTGTGTTTAATTCTTTTTGGAATGTTTAATAAGCTTTGGTGGGTTCATTTGATCCCATGTGCGTGCCCACCGAGACATTTATCGCGTCCACGCATTATACCATTGCCAAGACTTTTATTGAGCCAACCCCTAAAGTTTTACTCCGAATATTTACAAGACCCTCGGGGAAACTCCGTTTCGCACTTGCTCATAAAAGGAAGACGTCAGTGAAATTTCGATTGAAATTGGCCACAGAGTATGTTTTCATTTCAAGAAAGAGAAGCACTTAAAATTGAGTTTTCTTCTGTAAGTAGCTTTAAATCCGATTTCATTTAGGATTGGATAAGACAATCATCACCAATATGATTCCAAGGTAATGAAGAAAGAATTTGATTCATTGCAAATTAAAAAGAAAACACGACATTTCTATTTACTCTTGAAGTTTATCATATAAAGTGGATTTACGTGTCATTGAAGAAGAATTAAAGCAATATTAATAACCTCATTATGGTGTATGCAAGTTCAGACTCTTAAACTTAATCATACTTTTTATTAGGTCCCGTTGATAAAGTGTCCATTACGTTAATGTCAAAGATTAAATTCTTTCGCTCCGAAGAGTATAAAAGAAAAAGTGGTAAAAACTTTTTCTATCCCAAGATCTCTTTTATACTCGAGATACTTAAATTGCATTAGATGAAACTTCGCCTAACGTGTATATCAAACAACTGCATAAGGATAGTGATAAGAAAACCTTTATCAGTAAATCGCCTATTAATTGTTCGAAAATCATAAAATA